TTTACTAGGTCCAATATATACTTCGTATGAAGGAAGTATGTTAGGGGTTGTTTGTTGTCGTATTTTAACTTAATCTATTAGGTATATTTTATTAAAAATAAATTTAGATAACAAAAGTTTAGAAAATATAATTTCAGAAAACTCAAAGAGAATAAGTTCAAACAAAAGTAAAATAAGTACAGATTTAAATAAAATAAATTTAGATAATATAAAAAGAATTAAATAATTTCAAATAAGTACAAACAAAGTAAAACAAGTTCATATTTATGTAAAATAAAATAAGTTCAGATAAAATAAATTCAGACAAAATCTGACTGAAATGGATATTATAGACTTGTTCGATCTCTTTAACTTATTTCAGATACTTATTAATTATTCCCTAATAAACTTAGACCAGATCATAACTTTTAATTATTATTTACTTATTGCTAAATATCGTTAATTGTGTATCATAAAAAATTATGGAAATTACATATTTGAAAAGTTCTTAATGAGACGAATCTAACAAGATTCATTTTGATAATGTTTTTCTTTAGATTAGTATTAAAATGCGGTCAAAGTTTAGTCAAATTATTAAATCTGGTCAGATCAGACTAGACTAGATAATAAAAATTCAGATTAGGCCAAATCTCACCTTAATAAAATCAGATCATATCTCCTTGTTTTAGATGAAGAGAACAAGTCCTACTTGTATGATTTATGAAGCTGGTCTATAAAGGATACATAAATGCATGTGAGTCCTTGAATCGAATGTCTAATTAATCAACAGATGTACAAAATCTATTACGGAGTAATTGTACCTCTCTATAAGTATGTCTAATAGATGGATAATCATGGATTCATGGGTAATTGGAATTTCATCCATTATTCAGTGTGAACTTCTTTGAAAGAAGCGAAATTAGACATAATCTACATAGTTTCTCGTGTATAAGGAGGAAAATTGGCCCACTTGTAAATTAGACATAATCTCACTAAACTCAAGCATATTAGCGAAATCTTTATAGGTGGAGTAATCACCTTGCGAAATGGTTTATAATACGGTTAGTATTTCATTATTTTGGGTTCACCGAGCCAAGAAAATATGATCAAGAATTCAAGACCCAAATATGCATGCCTTGACCTCCCATTTCTCGCAATATTTGGATCTCGATCTGTTAAATACGGGTCTGGGTCACACCCGCAAATTAAGAGAGAGAGTCCACTTCACAAGTTCAAAGGAGGTTCCATCCCAAAACCATATGGCAATAGGAGGAGTAGTCCTTTAGCCTTATAAGGTGATTAACTCTCTCTTTTTCAGCCAATGTCGAACATTTACATGTGGTGATAATTGGAAGGTATATTTTTTAACACGATCATATATTGCAAGACCTAAAAAATACTTGGTAACTTAATTATCGAGATATATTTGTGTTGCAAAATAAATGAAATTCAATAATAATCAGAATCATGTGGGAGGTTTTGAGTCCCTTTCGGCTTTCATAGAAGATGCATTTGAGTAACTTGTACGTATCAATAACAAAATTAAGCTATGATTTAATTTACTAGTATTTCATGGCTTTGTTAACAAACAAACTAAACGATCTTCCATTCTTCCTACCTGCACGCACCACGCACCCTTTTATTTTAATGCAACCGTATGCACAGCCGCTTAAGGTAGTCCACAAAACTTGGAGTAAAATACTAATTTTGGGGATATTAGTGACATCGTCCCAACTCCTTATTAGTGAGGATATTACAAAGTAATTAGATACGACTTTCAATCTAAACACTAATTGATTTAAAAAATTGATATTATACTCCTTCCGTCTCACAATATAGTTCCTATTTTTCTATTTTAGAAACTTAAAATATTGTTCCTATTTCTATTTTAGGATAGTATGTAAAGACCATTATACCCTCATTTTTTTAATTTTATTCATTTAACTTCCTAATTTACCCTTAAATTATCCACTTGCATTGTACTTTTTTCCACTTTCTTTCTCTAACTTTTGTCTATAATTGTACTTTTCACTTTTTTCCCGTTAAACTTGTACTTTTGTCTAGCTTTTGTCCGCTTTTAATGTACTTTTTCCACTTCCCCTCCCATTTCTTATATACCGTGAAAAAAAACACAATAAAAACTATATTATGGGACGAATGGAGTATAAAATTGTATTAATTGATTTGACTAGCTAGCTAGTTACATTAAATGTCCTGACTATAGCTTTGTAAATGTTATACATTATAGAGTACCAAGGAATATAATAGCTTATTGTAAGAATTGCTCAAACAACTCTTACAAAAATGTAAAAATCTAAGTCGAGCGACCTTTTTGAGCCAGCTCATTTATTGAACTCTAATGAGCTCTTTGATAAATCTATTTTTCAAACAGCAAAAATAAGTTATTTTGTGGTTAAATCATCTAATTGCTCTCAAGAAGTGTCATCGGTCATCTCTTTACTGAACTTGTGTTATCGGAACTTATTTCATTGTAGCGAAACTTATATATTTAACTATTTCAGGTTTTTTTTTTTCCCTAACTTTCAAAGCTTATTTTAATAAAAGAAAATAAGAAACGTTGAAACAAACAGATGCTTAGTAAAGATGGAATTATAACAGCAATCAATAATTTTAACGTAACTAACGTGACATAATTTTGAAATATCACATGTAACATACAAGCATATGACAACTATTTTGAACAAAATACAATAGAATACATTATGTGATCGCGATTTTTAAACAAGTATAAACATATGGCTAATTAAGTGGCTAAAGGAGTACAATATGATTTAATACATGAGGCTAGCTAAGGTTCTTCATCAGATTCTAAGTGATTCACATCATCATATGATTAGTTTAGATTTTAGAGGATCAATAAAAGTTGTTCTTTGACGCAACATTGCCATGTGACAACTAACAAAATCAATGTAACTTTCTTCTAAAAAATAATCAAACAAAATCAATGGAAACCTTTATTATTATGTGCCATTTTCAGTGAAGATTTTTGGATGACATTGACACTTTGTGCGGTGGATATGAAAATTTGGCAACAACATGAATTTTTGCTCATATCTTCTTATTTTGTGTGGTGAAATACATATTTTGGGAAAATACACTTTAGTAAAGAAGCTTGGTTTTCATTAAGCTAACTTAGTTTACTTGAGTGAGTGGCGGCTACTATGGTGCCTGATCTAAGCTTAAATTATGCATAATATTATTGTTATATAGTATATATGTTACTGACTACTTTAGATTTTAATAGCATATATAAGAAAGAAAAAAAAAACTACCATAATACGTAGTACTCCATAATGTATTGTATTAAGTATCTATGTAGTACTTCGTATAAACTAACTCATGAAATTTGTGTTTAAATCTATGTATCAAGGATGATGTGTTTTTTTCTTTTGGATTGTCATTTAAAAGTAAATCAAAAAATTGACTCGGAAAGAAGTTGTGGAGGGCTTCAATAAAATATGACTGCAGAGTGATAGTGAAATACTCCGTAGTTAGTAGTAGAGCCGTGTGAGGTGAATTTTCCTGTAGACAATATAGCAATTTTTACAGAATTGACCAAAATTGTATATGTAACAATTTGTAGGGGACAAATTGAGTATAGTAATAACAATATAAAAGAGAATACGCAAGTTGCTACCCCACATGTTCTTTTATAATAATATATTTTTTGTTGGCACCTAAATAAACTACAAAGTATTTTACTACTATGTGAACTTAAAATACAACTAGTATACAACTATGAGGTTTATTAGTCAAGGAATGTATTATGTATAAATTCTAGCGATCAGTTGTGGTATATAGTCAAGGTTTTAAAGGTCAAAGAATATAAAAATTCCAGCATCCAATTGTGGTATATAATTAATCAAGATCTTAAGGGAATATCCATTCAGAATGTATAATACAGAGTAGATACTTTTGGGTGCACTAGACGTATAAATACGAAGTATTATTTACTACACAATCCACAATTATTTGGTTATTTTTAACCAATTTTGAGTTACTTTTAACTTGTACACTAGTGTATTTTTGTTGTAATTTGCCACTTTTGAACAATTTGCTTTGCATAATTGCATTAACTCTAGATATAACCATTATACTAATCCTCTTCTACTCTTTGTATATTCTAAACTTCATATACAATTCCTAAAATGTTCCTGCACTAGTCTTTCATGAGTTTCATTCAACCAAAATACGAAATCTAATTGAAGTTTTAACGATAGAATTAAGGATCATGGTCTTGAGATTGATTGGGCTGAGCACATATTCGGAAAAAGTAACCCAACTTAAACTCGGTCCATTCAGTAATTGTCATAATTTAAATTGCAGGTCCATTAAATTTTTTTACTAAATTGTATGCACTGCAAAGAGATACGCCAACTAAAATCCAATGCATACATTTTTTTTTTTTTTTTTTTTTTTTTTTTTTTTTTTTTGTGGTGTATAGAGAGCCATAAGGGCAAGTGATGAGAATCGATCCCAAGATTTTACTGAAATCGAGAGAAAACTCTAACCACTTGATTGGGCTGGGCACATATTCGGAAAAAGTAACCCAACTTAAACTTGGTCCATTCAGTAATTGTCCAAATTCAACTTGAAGGTCCATTAAATTTTTTTACTAAATTGTATGCACTGCAAAGAGGTACACCAACTAAAACCCAATGCATGCTTTTTTTTTTTTTTTTTGTACCACTAGGGCAAGCGATGAAAATCGATTCCAAGATCTCCTGAAACCGGATGGGAACCTCTAACCACTTGAGCTATCCCTCACTCTCAAACCAATGCATACTTTGGTAGCAAAGTGAAAAGTTAAAAAACACATTTTGCCGTAAATTAACTTTGACCGTACTTTATGATTTATAATTAGCAGAATCAAGCTAATTTCGTCTCAATGTAAATATTCAAAAATTCAATTTTTTTATAATGTTCACTTATACATAACTGATTTTATCAACAGCTAAATAAGTTATTTAAAGACCACATAAAAGCTAATTGAGTCGAACTTTCAAGAAACAAAAATACTGACTAATTAAGCATTGTTTTAACAAACTTAGGATGAACTACAAAATACTTCTAATGTATTATTGTTGGCCGTAATGGCCGTAATAAGCCATAAACCTCAATAAGCAATGTTTCATTAATTGAATGTGTCATGTTGGCTTAAGTTTCATTCTTCTAAGAAACAAGTAAGCTAACAATCTATATCCAATGATCATGATAACCAAAGCTCCAACTTCAACTTTCCAAGAAGAATCTACTCTCAATCCTTTGATTAGAGGAGCTTCACATTGACCGGATTTTGAACTACTAGTTGAGCAGCCATATTGAATATTCAGCAAAAGGCGGTATGTGTGATAGTTGAAGGACACATACCGTACCCAAGACATGAAAGACGGTACATCCTGCTTATACATCAATGCCAATCAAAATCCAAAATGTTAAGTCAAGTTTGTGTAATTGTGTTAAAAAAATGTTATGGATCGAAGGATGGTTGCTTACTTGAAGGAAAAATCCAGCTGCGAGCATGAAAGACATGATAAGTACTGATGCTACGGTCATTGCTTTCTTTATATCCATGAATGCTGCACCAATACTTAGGCCTAGGCCCTGAAATTTTTTGCAGTACAAATTTTTTTGTATATTAGTGATTAGTAAGAAAATTAAGAAGAAATTTCATTGTTGTTGTAGTTGATCATATAGTTACCTGGGCAGCCAAAATGCCGAAGAAAATTGTAAGTAAAGTCAGGAAAAATGCAGCAAAACTTGGTTGCAACCCCACCATGAAGTACACTATGAGCATGAAAAAAATGGGCAAAATGAGGTATAAAGGCAGATCAGTGATGTTTCGAGCAGCAAAATACGCGCTGAGTCTGTACATCCCAGCAAATCTCTCTTTTGTTAGCATAACTCTCTCTTGTGGGAAGGTAAAAATGGTTGTAAACAAAGGGAAAAAACTCCAAAATACTGATATAAAGAACAGCAGCCCTGCCTGCACATGCACAAAATAACAAGTTAGTAGTAGATCTTATAATATAATCTTTATAATTTTGATGTTATAAAGATAGTCTTGATTGCCTGATCTTGGATATCTATAGATGTTGAATGATCAGGATGCCACCAAAGCAACCCTATGATTATAGCGGTTGAAATGACTTGGATTACACGAACGCTACTGAAGTATTCATGTCGTCTTTCCTTAATTCCTCTGCTTAGAAGAACGCGGAATTGATCCCACCAACTTGCTCCCCATCCCTTTGAATTCCAAGTCCTTCCTCCTGGCTTAACCATATTTTGTTGAGTCATAGACTTTAGTAGTTTTGGCTTTTTTATCTTAGATGATCTCGATTCATAGGCCTCCACAAAATACTGCATAGAAAATCATTAGAATATAAATGGATGTTATAAATTGATCATAGTTTAGTTGAAAATGTGAATAAATTTGCTAGGACTAACCTCATGGACTTCAAGTGGTGATGGTCTTCCCCTTGTATTTGTGGGTGAGAATTTGTCTTCCATACTCGATGGAATCGATTTGTCATTCATGTTCCCATTTGCAAGATCAAGTAGAAACTCTGCCGGATTCATAGGTTTAAGTGGCGAGCAACCCATCAATGAAAAATATTCCATTGCTTCGGATGCTTTTCCAAAGTACAGAGAACTCCCTTTACCTATAAGTATAAGCTTGTCAAATTTGCAAAATAGTCTGCTCGATGGCTGGTGAATTGTTGTCACAACTGTTTTTCCTGTCTATGAAACCAATAAACAATTTTAGTCAGTGCTTTATTTACATATTCAGGCATTTAAACTTGTTCTGGAATTAACTCAAGTTCAAGTATTTTATACGGTTTTACAAGTAAAAAGAACGAAACTTGAGCTCTTAAGGCTGTATTAGTTACTGAACGTTTGCAGTACCTTAGCCATGTTGTGGAGTATTTGGACTATACGCAACGCGCTTGCTGAGTCTAGACTCGATGTAGGTTCATCTAAGAGTAAGAGAGGAGGGTTAAGCAGGATTTCATTACCAATACAAACCCTTCTTCTTTCGCCTCCTGATATTCCCTTCAGAAGTCCACCTCCTATCATAGAATCTTGGCACCTAAAGGAAACATATTCTTAAATTGCTTAGCTTTATGAAAAGATGTGTTCAAGTTAAAATTGCTGCACATATATTATATAGTGTTCAGTTGCACCTTTCTAGTCCTAAATCAATAATGACTTCCATGGCTCTATCTTTCTTCTGTTCTTTCGACAGTGTGTTTGGAAGGCGAAGCAAAGCAGCATAAGTCAAGGTCTCCTTGACAGTAAGATGAGGGAAGGCAACATCATCTTGCATTACAAATCCAATCCTGTTATTAAATTTATAGTATCAGTCAGATTTTCATGTTCTGCTTTTAAACGTACTTTTCTGACGGAAAAAAGAATTCTCATTAATAATAAGGCATACGACATCTGAAATGATTATCAAGGTCTGTAAAACACAGATTTAGAGTAACTGCACTCACTTGCGCTTTAGTGACTTAGTGTAAGGTAGGTTGTTGTAAGTGATGGTGCCGCTGTTATACTTAACCCTGCCGCTAAGTAGGTTAAGTAAAGTTGTTTTACCACCACCTGATGGACCTATCATGGCTAGAAGCTCTCCCGGAGTGGCTGAGCCACTTACTCCGTGCAGTATATATTTTTCATTCTCTGAGTTTTTCGCCCCGTTCATAGTTACCTTGAACTTGACATCTTGAAACTGTAACAATTTGCTGATATCAAACTCTTCACATCACATGACAATATATCTAAACAATAAAACAATTATAGTCGTCGTAGAAATTTAGTACCCTTAGGCATATCGGTATGCTTGGTACAACATTCCAAGTGCTTGAATCTGGACTCATGTCCTGCTCATTTGCCTGTCCTGGATTATCAGCTGCAGCACCATCTGTTTTATGCAACATTACAAAAGAAAACCCAAGAAGACATAAATGTTTGTGTTTTTTTTTTAGCTCATTGGCTTTTCACTGTCATCAATAACTATAAACTATATATGTTTGGTAAATGGCTTTTCATTCAAACTGAAAAATTTTAAGTTGTTCTTTTTAAGTTCGGACGTAGCTAATTCTATCTTAGGAGTTGGTAAGTAAAAGTTAATACTACTCGTCAACTTAATTAGCTAATACAAAGACATTAGCTAACTAGCTAGTCAAACAAGTTAAGTGAATCTATTAACAATGGATAATTAATTCTTAATATTCCCATAAGTCATGCTTGTACAAAGTATTAGACTAGCTTTAATTTGGTCCTATAACAAAGATCTTAAATAAGGGACAGAATTGAGTGCAAAAAGCATCAGAAACATGAAATTACCTGATATATTAGTAGGAGAGGATACTTCATGAAACGCATAAGCAACGTTTTGGAAACTAATATTGTTAAATCTTTTTGAGACATTCTTAACAAGTTCATCAACATTGATTAAGATTTGATTATTCAATGATTTTGTCTTACGAATAAATCCATTATTGTTTCTCGACTGATTCTCCAATTCAAGGCTTCTCCTGCGTAACATAGCTAGCCCTGCTTCACCATTGCTGTCATTTCCTCGCTTAGGCGAGCTAGGACCTTTGCTCAACTCCATTGGAATTTGTGCACAACTGCTAAACAAAATAAATCTTGTTGTTATAAACCGTAACATGGTGCAATTAAAAAGAGTGAAAATAATACATGTAACATACTAACATGTAACAAATTTACATAATTACATACTTAGTAGATTATAGAGCATTCTAAATAAAATTCTTACTTGCAGTTGAGCTTCAATGCATGAGCGAAGGTAGCAGGATTTGGAGTTAGCAAGTGAACTGTTTCACTGCATGCTTAACTATTATATAGGGAAATTAATAATACGAAGTAATAAATAATTTTTTTTTGAATAAATAAATAAATAAATAAAACCAAGGAAATACTGTAGTCTGAGAAGGTTTGCAAGATATATGATATGGGTTAATATTATTATAGACAATGATGGATCAACAAGCTAGTATGTAGTTGTCAACAATTTTCCACTTGAAGTTGATATTTGGATCCCTTCACGTAATCACGTTATAAATGATTTAGGACATCTCTTCATCTATATAAAAATAACAAACTCCGTACATTGTAATTTTCGGTAAAAATCAATTTAAAACTCGTATATAAATAAATTTCAACTAATCCTTAAAAACCATAAATTCAAATAACAAATAAAACAATGAATCAGTAAAATTAAGTTACAGGCAATAAATATTAGTTCTAATTAACCAATGAGTGATATTTAAATTCGACAAAAAATAATGTTAATAGAACACGAACTTATTTGTGTCTCACATCATGAATTGAATTCTCATATAGCATAAGGTTGTAGCTGCAAAATAAAATTGCTATGCATTTTTGTCTTAGATAAGATATGTATAACGGTGCTTTTTCTGTGTGGTTGGCCACACCGTGTGATCGGGGTAACTTATTTAGGGGTTACTCAGTCGGTCAAGGGTTACTCAGTCGGTTAGCGCGTTTTCTGTGTGAGAATATATAATCCCTGATCGACCGAGTAATCCCTGAATAAGTAATCTCGGTCACACGGTGTATGTGACCAGCCACATATAAAAATTTGAGTATGTATAAAAGAAATTATCACTCTTGAAGACATGTGCTGAGTAAGTGGGTTAGATAGCTTGATATGGTTAAATTAGACCATATTACAAATTTCCAAAATAAAACTTTCAGAAAATTGATGGAATTACAATTTGAAGTACAAATTTTCAAGCGCCGTATTTTCAAAGGCATGGTGTAGCCGTGTAGTATGAAACGTTTTCATAAATCTTAAATTTTTTTACAGGTTCATAAATCTTAAATTAGGGTAACATTTGTAGTATTCTACCTTCTAAGCTTGATTTTTACTCCGAACATTTTATTTTACTCTTATATAATACTCTTAAATATTACCCTTAATTTCCTTAAATAATAGCAAGCCAATTAATCAATTTGGGCATTTTAGTGTGTTACGAAGCAGTAAATATTGTAATAAAATATAATCAGGTTTAAAGTGAATAACTCGTCTTGGAATTGCTGAAACGGTTCATCTTTATTTCTTTTTTCTAGATTATTATTTTTTTCCTTTTTGTGCTTACTTAAAGATTTATCTATTTATCTTTATAAAGAGAACATAAATTGCTATTGGTTAAGAAGTGTGATCTTATTATTCTTATATACATGATGTTTGGTGTTTTAAACTTGTGGGATGTGTTTTTTTTAAAGAAAAAGGAGATTCGTGTGACACATAAACGTTTTATTTAGAACCATCAATAATCAATAATAATAATAACTTATAACTATAATAATAATAATAATAATAATAATAATAATAATAATAATAATAATAATAACTATATACTAAAAGACACACGAGCAATGACACGTGTCATCTTCTGGTATGTCCTTAGTATATTTTTGTTGAAAAAAACTTTTAAAATGATTGATAATATAGAGAATATACGCAAAATATTTTCTTCCAAAATTTTTGAAAAAATCTTAAAATAATCAACTTAGATATCTAACCATATCTTTATATAAATTTCTATATAAGTAATCACTTTTTAATGCATAAATAATAATTATTTATAGTAAAAAAATCATGTTTTTATATTTTTCAACCTAACATAATTGGTGAATGAAAAATTATCAAATGTGAAATAAAACAAATATGCCATTAGGGTTCAAATAGAAGAAAGCTTGAATAAAAAATTATAATATGTAGTCATAAAAGATACAAAAAAATATTTTAAGTTCCTTGATTTCGGATAAAATAAGAAATAGATTCTAGACCAAATTATTTTTTATATTTAAATATATTTTTAAATTGATACTCCGTAATAAAGAGTAAAAACCATACATGGCAAGGGATCTAACCTAGTTTTATTATATAATGAAGTATACATAATAATAACTACTATATCATATATTTTTCTTTTCCTTTCTTTTTTTTTTCTTTTTTTTTCTTTTTTTTTTTTTTTTTTTTTTTTTTTTTTTTTTAACCATTTGGTTATTTGCAGAATTATAGTCTAGGAATTTTGGAATTTTGTCCATCTCTTCTGCAAGAAGGTACACAGTACATTAGGGCCAAAAGGCGGTGCCCCAATTTTGAGGGCAATTATAGAATTGGAATATATTCCATTATTAGTTTATTACTTTATTACAACTAGTTGAATGCGAGTCCATTTGATGCGTCAAGTGCCAATTCTAGAAGAGCTCAATCTATTATTTGTAGTTTTTTTTTAAAAAAAAATAAATAAATAAATAAATATATAGTAGTTGACGTCTTTAAGTTAATTACTCTCTCCATCCGAAATTAATTGTCATAATACTAGTATAATTTTTATTAGTATCATAATAAATACGAAAATTCAATTCTCCAATTTTGTAATTCCCTTTTAACTCTCCTTTTTCTTTAAATGGAAAGGTTTTGTGACAATTTGATTAATAATCTTATCTTGAAAGCCAAAATTAGATAGATGGAAATTGACAAAGGAAACAAGAAGAGCCTCAAGAATTTGTACGAAATGTACGAACGTAGAAACTAGTAACCGACCATATGGCCCACACCTTAAACATATGGACTAGCTCAAGGGTCAGTCCAATTGGGACCAGCTTGGGTCGTACTCGAGGTTTGTTGATTAATCCAAATATTATAATGTACATCGTATTAGAAGGAATTGGCCCATTAATTTATTCGACCCAATAACTTATTTTATACAAATTCAATCAACTTATAAACCAAAATTAGATTAGGCCATCAGGGCTAGTGTGATGCAGCCCATGAAGGGAAGATGTATAGATAATCAAGGTTGACGTGTCATCTTTTCACTCCTCTAAATCTATGATAGGGGTTCGATTCTCAATCCAAGCAAGTGTGATTTTTAATTTCTCCTTTGTTTACGGATCATTCTCTTTACCAAACAAAAAATATATGAAGGGAAGATGTATAACTTCGAATTTTTTTTTTACAACTACTAGTTAGTACTTAGTACTCCCTGCTAAATTACGAATTTTATATTCTTTCATGTTTATATTATTGTTATAATTGTAGTATTAGATTTATCATAGTCATTTTAATTAGTTTGATGCTTTCTTTGTATCTGGAGATGGTTTTTTTATTCTTTTTTGTCTAATATATATGTTATACAAGATCTACATCATTAAAAACTACATAGAAAGATTATAAAAACTGATTTAAAAAGATATTATTGTAGTTTAAATAGAGAATTGATCTATGACCCTCAAGATTGACATTGACCATCTAAATGGCCACAAGGCCCACAAGCATTAGTTGGTGACTTAAAATGTTTTGAGGCTTTGAGCTATTTAGAGGAATTCAAATTTTAAATGTATTAACTGGTGTATGGCCCGAGCGATGCACCGGGTTTTATTTTGAATATCAATAAATATTATTTGAGCTATAAATTATAAATTGTATAATTTATTTTTTTTTTTAAAAAAAAGAACAATAATAACTATGAATCTAAATATGTACTCTCAAGTCTCAAATTGATGTTTTATACAAAGTATTTACTATTTAGTACTATATAATAATTTAATATGAAAACACAATAATAGATAGCAAAGGTAGTAAGAACATTAATTCATTTCTTATTGGTCGTGTGTTCAAACTTTGTGATAAACATTTTTATTGCCATTTGTTAAATTTTGAAATAATATAAAATGGGCCTAGGAAACCCAAACAAGGAGGATGAGAGTTTGGTCCTCAAACAAGGCCAAAGAGGTTCCTACTAAAACCAATCGGTAATAGTAGAAATAACTCCCCTATCTTATAAAGTGGAACCATCTCTCCTCTTTCTCTAATGTAGGACACTCACAAGTGGGTTACTATGGGTTTCAACACTCCTTCTCACTTCTTAGTGCCCTTAGAATTAGAGCACACCAGATTGTGTAAAATAATCCTCATTGGGAATAATGAACATCCAACAGCGGCCCCTTAACCAATGGCTTGACAAATGCCCAGTTATGAACGGCCCAACAAATCTAGACTCTGATACCATGTTAAATTTTGAGATAATATAGAATGGGCATGGGCAACTAACTCCTCAATGTGTTTCAACACCATTAAAACATATTTATACTATGATAGGTGATGTGGCATACAATACATGAATGAAAAAGGGGTGATGTGGCATACACTATTAACATTAATACATGTGAAGGGTGTCACGTGACACACCTTCTATTTTAAAAACGCTTTTTCTAAAAGTATAGATAAATAGATATAACTTTGCATTTGCATTTTCCTATTAATGCAGGTCATCCTATTAATGCAGGATTTTCCTATTAATCAGTTTGCATTACAAACGTATTGATGCAGGGTTTTCCTATTAATGCATTTATATTGTACTAACTTTGCATGTAAAAATAACTTTGCATTTATATTAAATAAAAATATGATGTCATATTGTACTATTCATTTGAGTGATTCGACGAACGTGCTGCAATTAGTTTAATTTTTTGATATTTTAACTTAATTTGATACCACTTATAATTACACTTTTTAAGTTTTATGCTATGGGAATGGTCATAAATTTTGGCTTTAGATCTCAGTTTTAAAGATTTTCCTCTCAAATTTTGTATTCTACATCTCTCATTTATTTGAAATCAACCTTTAATTAATTATTACAGATTTCAATTTCAGAAACTCAGCCTATGTTCTTTAAATGGAGAAATAGCTTTGACCGAAACATATAAATATGTTTGTAATTGTTAAAATGTGGTGCGTAATGTAAGAGCAAATAAAATATGAAGCCATGCATATTTTAGACTTTTAGTGCATAGTCATGTGACTATGACTCTATTGGTGCTCTTTAAAACCATAAATAAAAAAGACTTGTCCTAAACTGAAACCAAATTTTGGACAAAAGTGGTCAATCATACTTAAATAAGCCTAAATGACTAGCTATTTGTTTAATCCCCTGATCCATAAAATTCTTCTTATTTTTCAATTAAGATATTTTTATGTAGTATGTGGTTCCCGTTTTTCTTTAAATTTTAAAACCAACAAATATTTACTCTTTTACCCTCTAGCTCTTATTTCGTCATATAGACTTAATAAATATATTTAATACTTCTTCTGTTCTGTAATATCGTAACATTTGTCTAGCTTATAAACTATTCACAAATCAATCATTAGCTACACATATAGAGATTATTTTACGTGTAAAAATGAATGTATAATTATGTTGAGCCTTGTTATAATTGTCTTGATAACTAATTAGTTTCAAAACTATTGACAATATTACTAAGATATTATTGTTTCAAAACTATTGACAATATTACTAAGATATTATTATTGATATATAAAGGTGTTGGAAGAAAAATTAATTTTCCATTTAGATTATTTCATTTTACACCGTCTCCTAGCTAGTCTCCAGATTCAACCAAAAAAAAGGAATAAGAAGAAAAGACAAATAATAGATAAAATATAAAACATGATAAAGAAAAAGCCAAGTATTAAGTAGTGGGTATAATTTGACTAGGTTCAACTTCTTTCAAGAGTCAAGATTTGTGATGGTCGATCAAGACTTGGCTTTTTCTCAACGCCTCAACTTGACTTGGTTCGTTTAACATATCTCACACTTAAATTATTAAACTGTCAATTAAATCTTATTCCTAATTCAATGACACATTTATTATTGCCTTCGCAACAACACTGTTTTACATTAATTGAAAACCGTATGCTTCATTTTTTGTGTTTATAAAATTAATGGTGATATTATATGTAGTCCTTTAGGGCAACAAATAAGCATTTAATATATTTTCTTATTTGGTATTAGTTTATGAATGTAAGTTAAAATCAAGCGCAAATTAGTGTAATTAATGAATATATTTCAATAATACTTTCCTTTTTTAGCTTCTTCCACATAGACCTTATGTATAACATTTTCCTAAAATTAATCCTTTTTCAAAATGTGACTGTACAATGTCTTAGGTCAAATGGTGTTCATATTTTTTCACTTATTTTAGGGTAAATAAGCTCAGATCAATAACGATCAATAAGGTATAACAAATTTTAGAGTTATTCATGTTTGAATAAGGTATAATTAATAAGTTTTGACAAATATAAGACAAAAATAGGTTCTGAAAAATAAAAAGCAGGTGAATTGAGAGATTTTATTCCTTCAAATTACATTTTGCAAAGAAGAATGAGAAAGGAGAAGGGGGGGGGGAGAATTGGAGTGAGAAACATGAGAAGTTTGTTTTATTAATCCATATAATTTGGTACAAAACACTAGTAATACATAACAGTGTATGACTTTTACAATACGATTACATAGCAATGCACGTCATATACTGTAGGCTCATTGTGTACCCATCCCTGAATAATAATATCCAAAAAAAGAAATAAACCAAACAAGAAATAAATTTTTCCCTCAAAAAAAATTAAAAAAAAAAAAAGAAATAAATTTGAGATAAACATAGTACCATAGAATTCTATATTAAAAGGTTCCAAGACTTCTATACTAGTACGTTTATCTAATTTTCCAGGTTAAGGTTAACTAAATAACTACTACCAGTCTGAAATTGGCAATTCAGTCAGCATTTGTTATCTCTTTTAACTGCTTCTACTCATGCTCTATCTTTATTATGACTTGTTCTTCCATAATAATACATAAAATAAATTACATGTTCCCATTTAAGAAAAGGAGTCTTTATTTCGTCTTTTTCGCACACAAACTAATAGACTGCTTTAGTGCTTTAAGTACTTTTGTCTACACTCTAGAAATTTTATTGGCACAATTGTTATAATACAAACATAATTTTACAACAACAATAAATAAATTAAGTTATTTAATTTTTATCTGTTGTTATCTCCTCATTCCTTATTTAATTATATTTAGGAATCTGATCATAATATAGCTATTTTAGGACGTGCATTTTATTATATCACTTATAATTAATTGGTAATGCATAACGAACTTACTACTTCAAAAGAATCAACCAGACATCTCGTCCTACTGGCTCCCAAATCTCTAAAATACAATTTGCCTTGTGTCAAGTTGAACCAAAACATTAAAATGATTTCATCTGAAATGAACTTCCTCCGTATTTTATAAATAAAACTTAGATACCCCTTAATTATTAGCCTTATCAACTCTAATTAACAATTTATCTAAACTTATATAAATTATTTGTCCAAAAAAAAAAAACTTATATTAATTATTTTGAAATATGTGAAAATAAGGACAACACAATCTTACATGATAGAATGCTATCTACTTGATTTTCTAATTGTTATACTATAATCTTCAGCTCTATTCAATCAAATTCTCCAAATTACACATAGAATGCTCCCACCAACTAATACATTAATAATTCCACTATTACTTTTAAGGTGAAACGAAGACTTTGCAATTTACACTATTGATATACTACACAATGCTTACTTTTTAGTAATATGTAATTACAAGGAATCTTATAATTAGATTTTTCACAATTTATATTTATTTTTCAAATATGAAAATATAATATATGTAATTAATTATCATTAATTTAATATATAAATGGTTGAAAATATCCATTGACAAACTTACAAAAATGAAGTGTTATATACATAAAAACAGAGGAAATATCATGACTGCACATAAAATATGTCGCATTATCTAATATTTAAGATTGGATTTATAATATTTTTCATACTCATTCTATGTACATAAAGAAATTGTGGTATAATCATTTTTATGGTGGATATAAATTCACTCATTTTAAATGTATTGTAATCGTAAATGTGTTATAATTTATAATTTGAATCGAATTGAATATGAACAGAAACCACTACGAACTTTAAACAACCATCCAACCCAAAATGACGCCATATAGAGATGATCCATTTACCACGCACCTCTTATTATTATAGCCAAAAAAATTAAGATGCATGACAATAAGAAGCTTCTAGGTTACACCCATATATAAAAAGTTAGAAAAGTTCAAAGATTAATAACACCACGAAACCTGCCTTTTCTTACTGATCATTACATAATTAATAGCATCACTAAGCAACAAGTAGCCAACACAAATACACAACTAAGGAATTTTCTCCTATTACTAACCTAATGACACCCAACTTGCATATGCTCACTTGTTCAAGGAAACAAAACAAGACAAATTCTCTCAACCACTTCATGTTAATTTGTTATACTATACTTCCCTATGTCCCATTGACTTGTTATTTTTTTAAAGTCTATACATTTCCGCCCATCTTCCCTCCTTTCAAATATTTTAAATTTATGTACTTATATATATTTGTATATTTCTTAATTCTTATCCACCTTTTGAAAAAAATATTAAATGCCCTTACCACTATCTCATCATCATTTTTCTTAGCCACAATAATCTTTGTGTACCAACCTTGGCTTCTTTCTAGCTTATATCCTCCATGGACAATCCGGACTCCCCGGGCGGTAGCCGACCGCCTCGTAAAGAGTTACAAGGCCCTAGGCCAACACCGTTGAAGGTTAGGAAAGAGTCACACAAGATCAAAAAACCACCGGTGGCGCCACCGGCTAATCCAGCTCATCAACACCAACAAGTGCCATCTCAGCCACCGCCACCGCCACGTCAGCCAGTGATCATATACACCGTGTCTCCTAAGGTAATCCATACACACCCTAGTGAATTTATGACACTTGTTCAACGGTTAACAGGCTCCGATGCCACCTCATCATCATCTTCTTCAACACAATATCCTTCTAGTAATTTTACTACAACTACTTCAAGTAGTAGTAGTAGTAATATTGTTACTGGATTTTCTTCTTCTTCTACTACTACTACTACTACTACTACTACTACTACAAGCCATCATGTAATAACGGGGGGTGTATCGCCGGCAGCGAGGTTTGCTAGCATCGAAAGGACGAAAATGCACCCAGAAGCAAGGAGAATGGTTGGTCAAAGTGATGTTGTTAATAGAGAACAAGGGATAACTTTTGATGTAGGTGGCGGCGGAGGTGGCGGTGGTGGCGGCGACATGGAAGGGGTAGAAAGAACCGTGTTTTTTCCGGGGATATTATCCCCCGGACCGAGTTCGTTACCACCTATTTCTCCAAACTTGTTCCCCCCCTTTTTTCATGATCCAAATAACCTAAACCTACAACAACATCATCATGACTTGAGCGTTGTACAACATGGGAATAAGAACTTTATCGAAGGAAGTTACTTACCTAGTCCCTTCTCGACAAATTTTACTTCTCCTAGTACTATCTTTTCCCCTAATTCTCTCGATTTTTTGCAACGCGTTTTAGATAGTTGAATATGTTAATGGAAAAAAAGTATAATTTATTGTATTTATTTAATTTTCCATGTTTAGTTAGATCGATATGGATTCGATGATTGTATTGAATTGGATTACATTCATTTGGTGTCGAAAATCAATAAGAAGAAAAGAAATTAAATAAACATTGATACAGTTTAATCAAGACGTAAAAAGAGGAAATTTTATAAAGATAAATGAATTATTACTCTTTTTATGTTTAAATTTAATTTTAGGACAGCATTTAATTGTGATTTGGTACAGTGTATTATTGTACAATTGTTCATGTCAACGTTGATACTGCAATTACAACTATTATATCAACGTGTAGGGTTGTGTACAATTTATTTACAAGTTATAAATGTAGGTAGGTAGAAGCTAAGATATCCTAATTTATTTAATTATTTTCCAATGTTTTATTTTTATTTCTTAATGTGGTATATATATCAGCATTATTTAATTTTGATAGCCATTTTCGTCATTCATGTTGTTATCAACATTCAAGAGGATGCTTGTGAAGACAGTTAGCTTGCCATGGTAAGTTGCTTTGACTATGACTTTTGATTTAGCTCAAAAAGAACAAAGAAAAAAAAGAAAAAGAAAGATGATTGATTATGTTGTTTGTTTAAATTTATTTCTTCCGTTCTTTGACTTGATAAATGATTCATATATATTAAGAGGTCAAATATGGTGTTATTTGTATAGTTTACTATATTGGATTTAAAACCTTAGCCCGGCTTTTGTTGATACGACTAATCAAAATAATGTATGGTTTAATTAGTAATTGGTAAATTAACATGCAATGCTTTATCTATATCTATATTGTATAATATGTTTATTTTAGGGGCATTCTTATCTTTCCCCTAATTCAAATTACATTGTTAAGTGCAAGTGTGAATATTGTGTGTCTCAAAGTGTAAGATAGCTAAGGCAAATGATTTTTATCTTATATTTAATCCAATTAAGTGTATTGCACATATAGATAACCTCTTATAGGATGAAATCTTGCTTTGGGCAATTGTTAGTAATCTGATCGAGCTTCTCTATATATCTTGTCTCTCCTCCATCTATTCTAACAAATTGGTATTCGTGCTAGGTTCAATTGATGAGTTGTTACATGCCATTCGATAGGCATTCGATAGGCCCAATGTTGGTGTTTCCTTAGAGCTCTAATTTGCTTCAACATACATAGACTGAGTTCGTCATTTAATTTATCCATTTTCATTCAATCCAAGGAGAGGTGTATGTGTATAGATTCATATTTGAGGGGAGAATTTTTTCAGTGCAAGTGTGAGTATTACATATTCCGCGTTTAAAAGGAAAATAGAAACTTCATCAATCTATAACCAAGTAAAAGCTACTCCTATATGTTGTCGATTAAAACTTTATCAATCTATAACCCAAGTAAAAGCTACTCGTACTACTATATGTTTTTAATTAAGTTGGATTATATCTTACGCGCGTTGAACTCAAGTAGTAGGGTTCTCTTTCCAGTTTTCCATTGCCATGCACGTATTAATTAAAGTTGTTATCAAGCTAAGATACTTGAACATGCATATGCATGAAACATAGTATGTAAAACAGTAAACGAGCATTCATGGAAAATTTATCCTACACCATCACATAAAGATAATTATGTGTAATGTATACAAAGAAATTTGTGAGATGGATCTCTACTCTCTAGGATGATCTTTCTGTTAGAGAAATATTAATAAGATGTGATTTCTTTTGAAAATAGTTTTAAGATTTTTTTTGTGTGTGTGTGTTTGAGTGTGTAGAGAAAGTCACAAAAGTATCACCTAAAATTTACTGATTAAGATGCATGGTAAACTTCACATGATCGCATACATTAATATTTCAATTTGTCTCGTTCAAGAATTATTAGAGATGTGTATATATATAACAGTCTACTTGGGACTCGACAAATTAGATGATTTATTTTGTGTAAACAAGTGTAAGTTGTATTATTAGTCAATGCTAAGCATATTGGGGTTATTAAAACTTAATGCTAAGCTCAAGCAAAAATTAATTAACATGAATTTATTTAATCATGCATGCACAAGTAGTACATACTTTTAACATTCTAGGATGCAGACCGGACTTGATCATGCATCTTTAATTTGTATAACTAACTGCAAAGAGTTTACTTTGAGGATCTCCAATAATCCTCATTAGATTTTAGTTATTGGCTTTTAAATCATTGTAAATAGAACAAGTCAACATCCAAATATTGAAAAAATGATGAGCTCGATAAAATCAGAGTAATGTAGAGAGTAACAAAGAATAAAATGTACTAGAACATTTGTTTTGTAAATAAATGATTGAGTTTTCATGACGTGTCACTGTCGTAATTAATAAATAATGTTCCTATGATGTGGTGGGATATGGGGGGCTAATAACAAATAGAAACCTCCTCCGTTATGTTACCTATAGCACCCCCAACAACATGGATTGGAAATTTGGAATGAGATTTTTTTTTTTTTTTTTTTGTTAATTTGTGCATGTATAATTGTATATAGGGTTTTCGTAGGAAAAAAATTAACAAGAATACGTTAAATCGTTATTTGACCGCTATTTAGTAACGTCGTATGTTAGTGGATCAATTCAACCAAAAGTTTAAGCTGATGGTTGAGAACAAGGAATATGTTTTATACTCTATCACTCCCCCCTCACATGAAAGGTCCTTTGGACTTGAAATGTGGATGCAGCACATGCCCTCCCATACCCGGCGCGAATTAATTCGACTTTGAAGGAGGGGTGGTTGAGATTCGAACCCGTTACCTTTATGCTACGTTGGCTCTGATACCATGTTAGTGGACCAACTCAACGAAAAGCTTAAGTTGATGGTTAAGGATCAGGACTATGCATATTTTATACTCTATCATCGTAGTATAATATTTTCCAAGTTTAATTGCTCTATCTTTTGCTTATTGCCTACAATAATGAAATATAACATTAAAAGAGAAAAAAAAAAAAAAATAAAATAAAATAAAATAAAAGCGCAAACGATCAAGTGTAATGAAGCTAAGGTCATAATAAATTAATTTCTATAATAAGCTAATAAGTCAAGTGAGATGCAAATGGTCTAGGTGCAGACATTTGCCACCCTGATGAGTAAACATGCACACCCATGTTTGGAGTGTTTAGAGCCTCACTCAAGACTTGTTTCAAATGGCCTTGATAGTGTAAGGCCAAAACTATGTAATATAAAAATACTTGTATGTAATTGTATGCAAATGTATCAAATTATATCTCATTAATTAATGCTTTTAATCAATTCATAGAATCTATCTAGTAAACTTTAGTTGTAGACAAGTTGTCAATGAGAAGACTGCACTTGTTGACAAAAATGATAGATTTGGTTATAAGTATGGGTTATGTTTCTCTACTAGAAAAGAGAAAACACACAAATTAATAAAGCTAAGGTTTCTTCTTGGTGGCTGCCTTTGTCTTTGTTGGATGAGACATACATCCATTTTAGGATCCAAAAGTCCACAAAAATCTACTAAAATATCCATTTTCTTGCTTTATCATTAATTTTACTTTTAGTAGTTTTAGGTATATTCATTTGTTTAAGCAAAAGTTTCCAAGTGAGTAGTTGTAAAACAGCACGTTGCTTATCTCTAATTAAGATTTTATTTATTTATTTATTTTTTAAAATACTTGTATAAGATGATAAGATTGAGATTATAAAAGCATGGGGTAAGTCTTGTATGTGGCTAGTCATACGGTGTGGCCACATTGGTTTATAAGAGTAATCTTCATTTATATGCATAAGTACTCATTTAATCTCAAGAGTAACCTCATTTTGTCCGTAAAAGTAACCCAAATTCATTATACGAATAAAATCAAATAATTTAGAAATAAGTAACCTCATTTGTTCATTCGAGTAACCCCTATATTTTTGTTTTAAAAAAATGAAAGAATGATACCACTTATTTAAGAGAGTAACCCCTTTTTCTCATTTAAGTAACCTACATACGTTAAGGTAACCCAATTTGCTCATCATCGTGACCCCTATTACTTAATTAATTGTCTTATGTGTGATTATGTGAAGTGGCCACACCATGTGACTAACCATATATAAGAATTTGAAACCTTGGGGGTAGAACTGAAGTTACTGAACTTGAAATCAAATCTTGCTTATGTAAATATCTTTTGTAAAATTCAATGGACAAAAATTGTAAAAATGCATCCTTTGTTTTAAATATTTGTTCTCATTTCACCATCTACTAATACGTACATTTTATATTTGATTCATGCACATATTGTAACATAAATATCTTTAAATGCTACATATATATTATAGATTAAAAAAATATATATATAAAAAAAAAATAATAATAAAATAAAAATTAAGTAAATGAAAATCTACCTAATGATCAGATGAATCCAAACTATTCAACAATATCCAACACATAAAAGTAATACAACGTATGTATATAAGTCGAGAAATTATTGGTTTATACTTCGCATAAGTAATACATATTCCTTCCTCAAAAAAAAAAAAATAAAAAAAAAAAATGAAAAAAATACATACTCCCTCCATTTCTTTATTATGCTCTTGTTTGGATTATTGAAACTATTTATAATTTGAGCGAATTTTGTTTAATTCGTCTTAATTAGGGGCCGTTTGGTTGGGGTTAATAATCAAAGGGAGTGGGAATGAACTGATATCATTCCCTTTGTTGTTGTTTGTTTGTCACTTTTTTATTCCCTTTACCCATTTTTATTTTTAAATTTACCCAAAATAGTCTACATTGATTCCCCACCCCCCCGACTTTTCCATTCCCTTTCCTTAGCCACCATACCCACCACCATTCTACTCACCGGAACTCGCCCAGTCACCTCGTCGCGGACCCAGTCACCTCGCCGAAACTCGCTGCACCCCCCCCCACTTCTCGTCGGATCCTGTCGCATGCCCCCACCTCTCCCCTCGAAAATATCTCCTCCCCGAAAAACCTTCCACCACGCAAAACCCTAGAAAACACTCTCCCTCCCCTAAAAATCGTTGGCCGACCCTCCCCCCAA